ACTCGAATTGAGATCATTCTGTCATTTTTTGGGTTGTATCCAAGCACCGCTTTAGCGAATTTCTTATTAATTATGAAGGCTACTCCATTTCTTCGATGTTCCTCTTGTCCGCAGTAGTAGATCTGGTGGTCATCTGATGTGAAGTGGCCCATTCCAGTCCATTTCAGTTCGCTGACCCCCAGAATGTCTATCTTTAGTCTTGACATCTCGCCAATAACAACATCCAATTTGCCCTGGCTCATAGATCTTACATTCCAGGTTCCTATGGTGTGTTGATCTTTAGAGCATCGGATTCGTCGTTCACCTCCAGTACCGTCGGCCGCTAACCTTCCTTTCGGCTTTGAGCTAGCTGCGTCATCACATCTGGGGCTAGTTGAACTTATCCTCTGCTCCTCCCCAGTAGCATTTTGGCCATCTTCCGACCTGGGAGTCCCATCTTCCAATGGCATACCGACATATCTCTGGTTGTACTTGGTCCATTTAGTTTTCTTGGCAAGGATACTGGAGTGGTTTGCCATTGCCTTCCCCAGGGATCACGCTTGGTCTGACCTCTCTACCACAACCGTCCCGTCTTGGGTGTCCCTTCACGGTTTCGCTCATGACATCATTGAGGTGCTCAAGCTCCAGCGCCCCGACAAGGCGGTGATCCTTTGCTGGAGTTACAACACCCAGTCATATACAAATCACTACTCACCCAGATCCACATCATGAGGAGACAGGAAAGCCTAGAGAAGACAATTATGCTGGGGAAAGTGGAAGGCAAAAGGAAGAGGGGCCGACCAAGGGCAAGATGGATGGATGGCATCCTTGAAGTGACTGGACTGACCTTGAAGGAGCTGGGGGTGGTAACGGCCGACAGGGAGCTCTGGCGTGGGCTGGTCCATGAGGTCACGAAGATTCGGAGACGACTGAACGAATGAACAACAACAACTCACCCAGATAAGACGTGGAAAAATATTCCAAAACTGTTTTTCATGCTTTATTTAATATGGATGTGTGTGCAGTAGGTAAATTTTGGATGTGTTTTAAATGGGTGTTAGAGTACCAAATAATCTTATACCTATGTTCTATAACCTATAAACTTTTAATGTTCTTTTATGTTGAATCTAATGAATAAATAATGATTTGAAACTAGATGTACATCTGTTAAGACAAGCAATAGTTCTTTTGTGAATGAGACATAGCATCCTATACTTACACACTGAACAGGGAATAATACTAGATGTCCCATGAGGCCTCTTCCTATATGATGTTATGGCCTTGTGACATAAGGCTGGAGGCAAGCATTTGCCTTAAGTATATAAACAAAATCTGGCTACCAGTTAAAAAAAACACTAAAATTATAACAGCAAAACAACACCCAAACACAGGAAATTCCAGAGAGAAAACAATCAGGAACAACTAATCACCTCTCAACAAAAGATTTCCCCAGGCACTAAGAAGCCACACCAAAAAACTGCCAGGCCATGAAATGTTAATCAAGGTGGTCAGTTGAAACCTTCACACCTAGCTCCAACAGACAAGAGTTCTTTGTCCCACCCTGGACATTCCACAGATATATAAACCCAATTTTCCTAGTTCCAACAGACCTCACAACCTCTGAGGATGCTTGTCATAGATGCAGGCGAAACTTCAGGAGGAAATGCCTCTAGAACATAGCCATAAAGCCCGATAAAACCTACAGCAACTCAATTCTACATACCTCAGCTTACTGCCAGGGTTTCATGGCTTGGAGCTATGGCAGTTAACATTGTCTTACATTAATACTATGGTGTAATGTTACTATCCCTGCTGTTTTTCACTAACAGAAAATGAACAGCAACTCTACAACAAGCTGAAAACAGGGCTATGATATAATTTGGAATTTTCACATGAATTTCCAAATAGACCAAAATGGTTTTGTTCCTTTTAATTTCTTGTTGAGGAAGAAACACATATTTTCAGCACAAAGAAATGGTTTTTTTTTTTGTATATGATATTTGAACCAGAGTACCATTTGAAATAAGATTTGTATTGTTGGACAGGCATATTCAAATCGCAATGGAAGGGGGAGAACCCTTTTTTAACACCAGTATTCTGTTACCAATATGAATATTTAAGATACCAACTTGTGTCCTACTAAAAAAAAAAACCCTCATCCTTGCTCTGTGTGTGATATAAATATATTTCGGAAAGAATGTTAATGCTTTAACTAGTCTGTTAACTCTGTTTGGATGGATTTGGTTACATTTATTTTACAAGGTTTTTTTAGAGCCATGCTCAATTTTTGAAAAAAAGTTGTAGATGATTACTTCTTAAATCTACTCACATGAATACACATTTCCATCATACCCCTCCAAGCTATGCTTCCCCTCCTCTCCCCCCTCTCCCATTTCCCCTCTGTCAGTAAACTCCAGTAGATTACTAGCATAAATCATTCTTCTCCATTTAGGAGATTCAGTATCATCTTCACAATATCCCTTCCACTGATGTAATCCAGAGATCAAGAGGTCAGTGATGGGTTTTCAAGTATTCTATTTGGTCTCTCTCACAGACTTAATACTTTTAAAAAGTAAACTTACATACTTAAGAACCAGGGATTGGAACTTTATAATAGCCAAAGTTCCCTGGAAGAGAATAAATGCCATTGGGAAATGTCTTCAAAGATTTACATAACCTCTACAAAATAAATTAACTCCAGCTCATTGCCTCTGCCAGTTGAAGTACTAGGGGAAGGACACTGTGTGTTTCTGAGATCCCAGTGTGAACTGTTTGTAATTGTCAACCAGCACAACTTTCAGGTAAAATTAAGCTTTCTTATTGCAGCCGTCCAGAGAAATTTCCTTAGGATATTGAACCAACTCTTCACATCTCTGCTCATGACCAGAGTTGGTCTCTGGTTGGTGAGAGAGAGCTGAGGCGAAACTCAAACTCTTGCTAAAGCCTTGAGGGAAATTGTGTCAGCTCAAGAACTATATATCAGGGCTCTAATTCTCATTTCTTTCTGTTTTGGTGCATTTTCTCAATATTGGAACCTGTCTCCTTTCCACTTGCTTTCATAAGAAATGGTAGCCTGTTTTCTCATCATTACGTGCTTTCATTCCTTTTTTCTCTCAAAAAGTGAATGTGCTGAATACATATTCAGTATAGATTTTATGAGGCTCAGATACAGTGATTCAGCAGATGAAAGGATATTTCCTGGTAAATGAGGGTATGGAAACTACATTGTAGAACGAGTCCAGTTTGACACCACTTTAAGTGTCATGGCTTAATGCTATGGAATCATGGGAGTTGCAGTTTAATGAAACAGTGGCAATATTTGGCAGAGAAGGCATCTGGAAAATTCCAGAGTGTTAGATCAGGAAATCTGAAGGAACTTTTGTGTACAACCCAGGCACGGCTTAACCCATTATGCAAAGTAAGCATTTGCAGTATAGTTGATTTTGCCCAGGGGCGCTCTTGAGGCGCTCTTGGGGAAAATAGACCTTGACATATGCGAGTTGTAGTTACTGGGATGTATAGTTCACCTACAATCAAAGAGCATTCTGAACTCCACCAATGATGGAATTGAACCAAATATGGCACACAGAACTCCCACGACGAACAGAAAATATATATCAGTGATTGGTTGGGGGGGGGGGGTGTGTGCCAAAATACTGTTTGCTTACCATTGAAAATTACCTAGGGCCGCCTCTGTGTACAGCTTACCCTAAAACTTCAATGATGCAAATTCTTATCTGAGAGTTGAGCCCATTGGAACTCATTGTGCTTATTTCTGAATAGACATGATTTCTGCTTTGAAATTATTTTAAAAATGTCATACACACATTCACAAACATACATATGTATGTATGCATACATACACACACTGTGTGGGAAGATGATGTCCCAAGAAGCCAATTTAATTGTATGCATACATATTGAGAGGTTAATTTTTTCATAGTTAATACTTTAGGAGAGAAAAATCCTCCCAGTTCTTCTTGAAAAAGAAACATTGTTTTTTTTCCCCTTCAGATTATTCATATAATCTTTCTGACAATTGCCATTCTCCCCCACTTCCCACCTTGCTTAGTCTACCACATTGGTATAGCTTAAACCATGGGGGAAATGGTGCAAAATCACGCAAAATGGTATCCTGGCTACCAACACAATTTTACTGTGTTTTGGTGCTTCTTACACTGCATCAAAACAGCAACAATTAAATAAACTACAAATAAAAGGGGTAGTATTGTTTCTAATGCTCCCCACTTTTGGGGAACGTGTTGGGGCAGTCAAACTCCTCCCTGATAAGTTTGGTGAAATTTGATGGATACCGCTCCCTCCCCTCTTCCTTCAATTATTCTGCTTCTGAATAGGATGGAGACTTTAGAGATGCACACTGTTGTAGATTTTAATCCAGTTCTTCAGCATTTTCACTTGAAGCTAAGCTTGATTTACTAAGTTCTTGTGGGTTTTTTGGGCTATATGGCCATGTTGTAGAGGCATTTCTCCTGACGTTTCGCCTGCATCTATGGCAAGCATCCTCTGAGGATGCTTGCCATAGATGCAGGTGAAACGTCAGGAGAAATGCCTCTACAACATGGCCATATAGCCCAAAATAACCCACAAGAACTTAGTGATTCCAGCCATGAAAGCCTTCGACAATACATTGAACATAAGCTTGATTTATTAGTGTACAGCACAATGCAAATACTAAGCATTAGTAGTGAGATGAAACAGAAGGCAATACTTATTGTAGGTGAGGTATTTTCACAAAGAAACATTTAGTGAATTGGTTTTTAATTTCAGCTCCAATCCCTTCCATATTTAAGGATAATACTCCAAGCCATGCAGTAAGACTTCTTAAGGATTTAGCACACTTTCAAAAGGCTTGGCAAAACAGGATTAGTCCCTTTCAAAGACACTGTCACATTTATTCGGTATAGACAGCGTTAACGTTAAGGACAATCCAAGTACTTTCAGGGGTTTCTGCTCTCCCCCCCCCCCCATTTTTTTTTTTTTTGCTTTTGCATTGCAGTTACCTTGTTGATGGTGCCTCCTTGCAAAACTCCCACATGAACCGAAGGTTCAGCAGTTACAGAGAAAACAAAGATTACTGATTAGAAAAGAACATAATCAGGTAGATTGACACTGTGTTGGAAGAAACCATTGCCCTGGAGAGGGGAGGGGAGGTTGACATTAGTATTCTCACAGGATAGTAGCTGAGACTTCTTTATCTTTGCTCTAACTGTTTACAAGTACATCAGAGAATGTAATGTTCCTGAAGGCAGCTAAAACAACTGTGCTATTTTCTGACTCTTGAAAATTGCACCGGTAGATGTGCAGGCATTATCTTCACAGTGTTAGAGAGGAACCAACTGGGAAATTAAAAAGAAGTGTGTGTGCGTATGTGCTTGTGTGTGTGTGTATGTATACGAGCGAGAGCTTTCTCATGGAAGTACGGGCCAGGACATTCTTTGAAATATCTGGTGACTCATCTGGTAAGTCTTTTAAAATAAATAAATAAATACATAAAAACAATTCACCACTGTATATAAATATGACAAAGCCTAAATGGTGTTAACATTCTAACAGTGTCATTCCCTAAAGATAGCTTTTGTATCAGTTTGCCTCGTCTTCTGACAAGTTTGTCTTACTGCTGTATTCTGACCTTAAAAGGTAGCGTTCTAACAACTTAGAAACAAGGAGTGGAGGAAAGTCAAAAAGAAATATTGTTGTTTGAATAGAGTACTAATAGTAACATTGTTCTTGTACCGTGTGACTTCAATGTTAATTTTATTATAGAAACTGACTCTGAGAATATAATAATCATGAAACATAGAAGTTACTATAGCTCCTGGAAAACTTAACCCATAGAATCAGTGGTTTGGAAATTATTCTGCAGAACATTCAGTGTTTACACTAGCACAGTTAACCCAACAATTCTGTTTTGTATATATTACAGAATACTTACCTTAAAAGCTGAAGGCGTCGCAAATAAACAAAAGCTTATGTATGCTTATGCATTAATCCTTTTGAGTTTAGTATGGCTAACTTCCAAGTAACTATGCATTATATGAAACATCGTTGTATAATTTACTAGAGTAGTAAAACAACTGGGTCACTGGGTTAAAAACCACATATGGGTCAGTTTGTTATTACTAGAGAATCAGAATGTATTATGTTCATTGTGAGCTGTGACTAGTGTTCTACAAGTATTGATATCTATTATATATGTCAAAGGATGCACAAAAGCATGCTATATGGATTAACAAGGGCATTTTATCAAACATATTGCTGATTGCTTTGTTTTAAAAAGACAGAACAGATGAGAGCAGTTTTAGTAACTGTAAATTGTAAGTGTTCCATTGTTTTCAATGGGACGCACATGTTCTTAGTCCTCTTACATTCTATATGACTTTCTTTTTTGTTGTGTGCCTAAGGCAAATCTATCATGGGGTTTTCTGTGGCTGAGAGTGAGTGATTCAGGGCCCTTTTACACTGGCCAAAATGCAAGTGGAATTAGTGTTTAAAACACTGATTCTTCCTGCATTTTTCAGCCACATGGGTCTGACACCTCACCTTTCTGTTGGGGAGGTGGCCAGATATCCACCTGTACTGATTCACAGAGTGGGATATAGCTGCCACTAACCCTCTCACCTCCCTACCCCACCCCATTTCATTCAAAAACATACCATAAAATACCAAGGCACAAGGCTTCTCCAGAGCTCCTGGCACATCAGAATGGGGTGGTACTGCCATTCCCTCTCCCTGGGGCGACAGAGGTAGGATGGCTGTGGGGACTACTTTTGGGATCACATTTGGTGATCCACGAGGGCCATACCTAGAAAGATCCAGATCTTGCAATAAAGACAGATAGAATTTTTGTCAACCATACAAAACATACACACAGGAGGCTGTTCGTCCATTTAAAAATTATCATACATGTGTGCAGTGCACCTTTTATTCACGTGTACACCTATTTGTTTATTTGAAATATGTATATGTCACTTTTCTCTCAAGAAAGTCAAATGATTTTGATAGTTTGATAAAAGTAGAATCTAATATATAAAGGCTTATGTTACAATAACAGCTTTTCTTGCTTTTGAAATGCTAGAGGGTTGGTCTCAGACTAACATAGTTGGTGTTCTGGGAAACCTTGCAAAAAAAATATTTTTAGCTGAATATTGTAGAAACTGGAGCTGCAATACAAACTTGAAAAGTGTATACAGCTTCTGTGAGTCCCACATCTGTAGTTGGAAGGACTGCTGTTATCTCGGCAGTGGTTCTCTATGCCTGGAGAGTGAATGTGAGGATACCTTCTTTTTAAACCAAACTGTTAGAATGAAAATAAACTGAAGTGCTAGTGTCACAGTGAAATGAACAGATTATGAATGTCAAATGTACTGTACTATCAATGGTTGTTATATTTTAAAAGTCCCACTGCTATGGTGAAATAAAATGGCAGAGATTTCGTCTCAATCTTGGGACATAATAACTGTAAAAACCTTACTACATTTATGAAACATCATTCTAAAATATCAATTTACCACCATCTGGCCTCAGAGTTGGATGGCTGCTCATTTAAAGATACATATAGTGATTTGGCACTGCCTGATACTAGTTAAACATGTGTTGCCATTATTGATCTATTAAACACCCTAATGTCACACCTCAGAGTAGGTTCACCTTGCTGAAAACACCAAACTGCACACAGCCAGAAGTCTTATAGTTTATTGAAAAGTAGAAGATAAAAAGTTCTTAAAAGCAAAAGTAATGTTCTAAAAGATCAATACAAAACAACACCTTGAAAGCATGATCCAAATAGGCACCAGCAAAGCAAAATCCCATGAGAACATGACTGAATCCTGAGACCATGAACTCAAGAACTGCAAGATAATCCAGACAAGCAAAATGCAAGCTTCTTGGTTAAACGAAAAGTAGCTCTGACAAAGGTTTGGTCCCAAACACTCTGCTTAATACCCTTTGCAAAACATGAAAGCGTTTCTTTGGCCTCTGACCTCCTTCTTGTTAGTTATTCTCACACTCCTTCGAACTCTGAATTCCAAACTGTCAGCACGATCTAAGGTTCCCACTTCATCAAGGTCAGTCTGTTCGTTAGTGTTATCCAGTTTGCCTTCCTGCTCATTATCAGGCTGAGAACTGTCCTCCTTTTCTGAGTCAACGTGCACCTGCACTTAGCTATTTTCAGCATCAACAAACTCATTTCTTGCTGCGGGAAACTGAACTTCCGCACCCTGTTCCTCATTGACTGCAACAGGGACATTTTTAATCAGATTGTCAACCTGAATCCCATCATCCTCATCAGAGGCACTCTGTGGTTCCAGCTGAGTCACAACACCTAAACCAGTTTATCTGAAAGAACTTACATATATATATTGCTAAAAAACTGATTTGTGACATAAGACAGGAAATTGAGTAGTTCGGATTTTTGAAATTGGGAGTCTTGTAGGTTTAATACAAATAAACAAATCTTGTGGAAGGAGTTCCAGTTTTATATTGCTGTTTATTCCCATACATCTGCATAAGAACCCCCCAAGCATGCTCAGGGCTTGATGGAATTGCTAGAGCATGGTGTCACAAGTGATGTGATTCCTGATACCTTGAGGTTTTAAAATATTCAAGTGCTATGATTCCTAGTGTTTCAATATTTTAAAATCTTAAAAGATGCAGAAATAATCAGACATGGTCTTGTCATTTCAGTGTGGGCACATCCATACAGCACTTAAATGGTGTGGGCACTGTGTGGATTGGGCCCAGGGATCGCATTGCGTGACTTCTGGGCCCAATCCACACAACTGCCTTGGGATTTCCAGACTCCTGGAGCCTACAAACCCCAAAACAGCACCCACCTCCTATCAAAGCCATTAAAAACACCCCAAAAGAGAAAATACCCAGCCTCTATTTCCCTGCTGCTGGCCCTTTCCTGTTATATCATTTCTACATGCCAGGAGAGGATTGGCAGCAAGGAAATGGCAACCAGGTAAGTTCTCTTCTTATTTTGATGTTTTTAAGGGGGTTTGGGGAAGGAGATGTGGGTGTCTGGGTGTTCTCCCAGAAAGTTCCAGGAGAACATATAGACACCCGCCAACAAAAGTGCAGGTTTTTCTAGCCAGTGTGGGGACAGAATTCCACACCAACCTGGGTTTTTTACACCAGGTTGGAGCACACTTTCTCCCTGTATGAAACTGGCCTGGAAAAACTGTAAAACTTTGCTTCAAGATTATTTAAAGAAGATGTTATATCACTTCTCACTCTTATCTAATGAAATGATGGACTACGGTTGGATAGGTTCACTCGGATGTGGCGTAATTCAGGAAAAAAATTGGATGTTTTTGCCTTTCGAAGGGCCTTCTGCCGTTTCCATGAGGCTGTAGTCTCCTATAGTTTTGACTCACCTTGTGTAATTGATTTCAAGGATGCAGAAGTGAGTCAGAAACTATGATGAAGCATTTTTAATGCAAGTAAGCCTGCTGGGAGGCAAAACCTAAGATGCTTGCCTCCCTGCCAATCAGGGGTTATATTTTGGGGAGGGGGGGAGTTTGCAACATCCCGCAGCCATTGCTGTGTAAACCCAAACGCATGGCTGGAAGGCTCATTGGCAGACAGGAAAGGGAGATTGGAGGTTGGACAATTGTTGCTGCTGCTTGTTGCTGTTGGGTGTGGGATGGAAGAAAGGGTTTGGAGCCAGAGGAAATGAGTTTTGGATAACAGAGGAAGGCAAAGCAGAAGGCAAGATTTTTAGAGAGGAAGGGTTTGGAGCCAGAGGAAAGGAGTTTTGGAAGACGGAGGAAGGCAAAGGAGATGGGAAACATTTGAGAGAGGAAGGGTTTGCAGCCAGAGAAGAGTGAGAAAGAAGGAAAAGTTTGGGAGGCAGGGAAAGGGTGAAATTAATAAAGTCATTTCTGGAAACTTCTTTTTTTGCTCACCACTAAAGCTTTGCTATTTTTATTGGGGTCTCTCCCTTTTTTCTGGAGTCTATGTTTTGAACATGTCCTAATAGTCCTGTTCCAAAGAAGAAGGAAAAGTGTGTTTTGGAGGAAGGGAGAGGGTGAAATTAATAAAGTCATTTCTGGAAAGTTCTTTTTTGCTCACATGTCCTAACATGTTGAAATGTTTTATGC